CGAATTTTTGGAGAATTGATATGTTATGTTGGATTATCTTTTGACGTTGATAGTGATAGGAATAAATTATATTTATGAATGAAAATATATATGATATGATTTGAGACTAAATATATACAGTTGAGTAACTAATTATAAAACTTGACTTTGGCTCGAGCCGTGTAAGAAATGACTATACACACCTCTCGCGAGTCTCTCAAGATCTCACTTTTTCTTCCCTCCTTCTGACTGATGAGAAGCTAATGTCGATAATACCTGCCATAATTTATATTGCCAACTCCTCTCAAGGAAGTGGAACGAGTTTCGCTCGATCTTAATTTAGATTAAGATTTTAAACCGTGGAAACAAAAATATAGAGCTTTGCAGCAAAACGAGTAATAGTTTGTTTTACTACCACCTTGGAATCGTAAAATTCATTATATTGTCCAAATAAACTAGCATTTATTCTCTGCCTTTATGGCTTGCCCCTTTTAACAAATTTAACGTAATCTTGACAAAAGTATCCAAACTTTTAAGAATAAAAAAGTACGTCATTAAAAAAAAAGTCTTTTTCAAATATAAATAAAGCGGATAATTGTATTTTAAGAGGGCAAAAAAAAATTTACGCTCTCATAATTCTCACTGAATCGAATCTACAAAAATTGATGAAAAAAAAAAAAACGGTAAAAATTTTGTACAATAATTTTTGTATATTACGCCGATACATTTGTACTGTGTGCAATTTAAAATGTCGGGAATATTTCATTAAACTTGAAACACATTATAAATATATGGAATAATCATGTAAATTTATGGAATAAGGAATATAACGGGGTGGAAAAAAAGCAAGTTTTGTTCTACAATCTCATATAATATAAGGAAGAGAACAGTAAAGTGAAACAAGTTTATATCCTCTTTGTACATCTGACTTGACTTTAACAAGAGAGACACAGTAACCCTTTAGAATTACGTTACTTTTAGGAGGATTCATATAATGGCGAAGAAAACTGGTTAGCAACATAGGTTTCATCTATCCTTGTATGAAAGGAGGGGGATGGGAAAAATGTCAAAAAAGAAAGAATATAACGCGTGATCTGCGTTGTTCTCTCTCTCTCTCTCTCTTTCTCCCTCGAGTTTTAAGATATAAATTCTTGGCACGAAGCGCGTTCGTAAAAGCATTACGAATATAACGCAATATCTGAAATACCCAGAAAAGTTCTAACGTCGCGGTAATAAATTTTTATACATTTTAAGTTAAACTTAATGTACGTGTGTGTATATATGTATATGTGTGGCACTATCCTGGCGCACTATACTGACACTCGTTGCAGAATAAGTTTAAACTTGGTTCTATAGCGATTCTAAAGCGAACGTAACGCGCCGAAATGTTCGAAATCGAGTTCTAAAAGGATCGTGGACACATAACACAAACACCAAGTCCGAAGCTCGATTTGTTTATCATTCCACGAGTTTCTTTGATAGTAAAACCAGGAGCTTTACCAGAATTTTCTCTGAATATTCTGTTTACGTTCCTCTTAAATGAACAAACAGAATTGATGAAAGTTACTTCTTTAAACAATTAAGAGCTTTCGTTGGAAATATATATATATATAAACCACTCTTGTTATTTATTCCCCTTAAAAATTACAAATTGACATGTATGATCAAAATATCAAAAATCATTTAATAGAAAACATAGGACATTTGTGAAATTCATTGAAATTCAACGTCAAGAGAATGTATATTTGAAACATTAATTATTCAATTTCTATGACATCAAATCGTATACGGAATTTGCAATTGAAATCGGTCATCCGATTATTGAATAATGAAACTTGATTTAGTTAAGCCTTGTATTGTGCTAAATGGACGAGGTGGATTTGAATTAATTCTTCTAACGAAATGTTTATTCTGTCTCGCAAGTTATATATATATATATATATACATTCCGTACGCGACTTGAAATTATTAATTAATGTTAAATTAATAATATTCATGAATATTATGATAATTTGACTGGTGATTGATAATATATGCTTTCTAGTTTAGTTTTAATGAATAATTTACTCTTATAATAAAAATCTGCTTCACAATATTAAAAGTTACGAAGAGAGAATAATAGTTAACAATGAAAACAATGTTTTTTTATCCATATGAATAAAGTAAAAAAAAAATTCGATTATTCTACTAAAATCGTCCCTTGCGACATCTACTTTGCGACTCGATCAAAGTCGCGCAAGCGAGCGTAAAATAAATACAGAGCGCTTTGAAACTCGGGAAATACACCACTGGGAAAAGTAATCGAACGTACAGTTCTTTTTCACGAGAGAATGACACCTTTTCAAGCTTTTACGACGAGAATTTGAATCCGAGAGTAAAATCGGTTGCGCCACACTCATATGAATCCATTGAAAAAAAAACCCTTGGAAATTAAATAATAGAAAAGCCGGCTTTTGAAATCTCGGGAATTTATATTCGTAAAAAGTTGGATGCAATAAATCATTTTGTCCAATCAGACAAGTATTACGCACGAGGGTATTCGATATTTGATGGTATAATATGTGTCGAAAAATTCACAATAATTAGTGGTTTCCCTTTTGCATATATACAATGTCTATCTGTCAAAGTAAATTTTTAATTAAAACAAGAAAGAAAACCAATAATCGCCTCAATTACTTTTATTTCACAAAGTCAACGGCATTTGTGTTTGTTCATTTTGTTGTCACTTACAACGCTTCGCTCACCGACGATTCAATTACTTTTTCAGTAATTAAATCGGCGACCGCGTAAACCGGTCATTTCCTCTTTCGCTACTTTACACACTTCACAGTTTAATTGCTACGAACCACCAGACAGAGACACTCTTGAAAAATGGTTGCAAAAAAAATATATAAATTTCTCTCTCTCTCTCTCTTCTTCAAAATAATCGCAAGCACGTTTCTCTAGAGACAATGTCACTCTGCAAATTATTGTCAGTCAACTATTCTCACGAAATATTAAATAAAAGTCACATATGGTTGGGTCTTTATATAGATTTGTAGGAAAAAAAAACCCGGACTTTTTTTTTGATAGTTATTCCATTGTGGGAAAAGCGGTATGCGATTGGGAAAAACAGGAGGGTAACATTTGATTGATCTTAACTTAATATTCTATTTTTATTGATTCTACTATATACATATTTGTGTGTATAATACACATTAAATAACATTTTGACAAAGCATTGGATTATTAAAAAAAAAAAAAAATAACTTTTTTCACTGGTAAAATTAATCTGATGTCGTGTGTCTAAAAAAAAAAGTATAATCAGAGGGAAAAAAGGGTCTCTTGTGCATATTTTGTTTCAGTTAAAATGAATTTGAAACTTTGGCGAAATTAACGCGTTGGAAGTTCTCACTTATGAGCATTCCATACGCTCAAATGTCAGCGTGGTTTCTAAATTTATAAATACACGACGTTATCTGGTTTCTATCAGAGAGAACTTTAAACATTCTTATATGGGAGCTTTGGTTTGTTCGTCTCTCGCGCATATAAGACTCAGGTTTCTTAAAGAAAAACAGATGTTATAAAAAATATATTAGAATTTATATTCAGTTTTTAAAATGTTTTTATTTATATATGACATGTTCCGCGAGGGGATCATAAAAAAGTTAAAATTTCAGAAAGTTTATTTTTGAAGAAAAAAGGTTTATTTATACATTATAAAGAAACGAATATCTAGGGCAGTGCAATTAAACGATACGTATTTGATATTAAAATATAAACATACATATGCAACTTTAATGGTATATATGCATGTTTAATAATACGATATACCGTGTTTCAAAAAATGTTGTTTTATTCTTTTTTGTTTTTGAAAAAGTCTCTCCGTATTCAAGAATTTATATTTACCTGCATTTTTATCTGCATTTCCTTCGGGGAAAGTATTTTCAAGCGTAGTAGATATTGCCTCTAGACAGTGCAATTTCAAAGAGGAAATTAGAAAAGAGGGACTGATATTTAGGTCTCTTGTGATAACAAATCGAATTTGTTATTGTAAATGTTGAAAAGTTACTTGGGTGTTCTCCCATGAAATTGTATATTCTGTTTGCCCGAATTGTGTGTGTTTATTTAGCCTACTATAATATGCCACCCGGCGACAGCAAGCCACAACCATAACTTTCTGGGGTCCCAAATGTCCATTATTCTACGTTTATACATTCTTCTCTTTTCTACGAGGTCGCCACTTGACTTACGATGTGTCCAAATGGTTGACGTTAAAAAACTCAGTTAAACTGAAATTAAATTCCAGAGCGTCACAACGCCTCTCTGCTGCTTCTCGGCGTGCTGATTTAGATTCCACCATGAATCAGCCAACCGGCGTTTTTCCTTCGACGCCATTTCCTGCTTTTACTTGCACGCAGCCTCAACTTTAACCCGCGTTTAACACTATTACTACTTGTGTTGTATGTATGAGCCGCTTCCACGAAATCTCTCTCCCATACGAAATTCTCCCCCTATTATACTGTCGTGTGTACACCCTATATAACGAACGATCCTCCTAATAGCTTTCCAAAACCATTACCGTTTGGTTTATGACCAATGAGAAAAATCAACATTTAATCCTCATAACCAGTAAAAGGATATAATCATACATTTGAAATGTTATACCTTGTTATATCAATATCAATTTACAAAACTGAATGCGTTAATGACATTTTTATACCTTCTGCATTATGTTTCTCATGTATACCTATGTTTACTCTTGAAAAGTGGAACGGAAGTGTACATATTTAAAGGTGAGAAACCGCTTCTTTCATAACTTTATATACTCACTTCAAATTAGGGGAGATTCTACGCTAATGGACCCACTGTCCATGAACTAACTTCCTCATAACTAGAAATTATAACATTACTTTCAAGTAGCACCAAAAAAAAAAAAAAAATACAATTCTACCACTTGTACTAGTTTTTATCCAATATTTAACATACATAGTCTGACAAAGAATTTTCTAATGGAAAAATATTTCCTATTTATGTTACAGGTGAGTCCTAGTTTGAACATCTGCTTCTGCCTTTTCTGTCACCCTCTGTTGAAGGTAAATTTTTATGACTTTATTAACTTCAGCGAATAGAATTTTTCATACAGACTTTTTTTTATTTACTTTCTATTGAAAATTATTATTTATAAATAGTTTATTTTAGAATAATATTTTTAAAAATTTTCGATTGCAAAAGTAATTCAAGTCAGCAAAAAAAAAACAGAGTAAGAAACTTGAATTTTTTTGTATTGCTTAAAAGCAGTTCTTAAAAGTAGGTTATTTCTCTTGACTTGGAAACCAGTCTTAAGCCAATTTTGGAACTAAAATAATTTTCTGTACCGTTTTCATAATGTGATTATAATGTGATCACGAAGTCGTTATGGAAGTTAAGATGACACTGATGTTAATTACATTTGAAGGGAGAGAGAGATATATCTATTCTAAATATTTTTTTTTATATGTAAAATTCTTTTTTCAAAATTTTAAAAATATATCTTAAATGATAAATAGTAGTATCTATCAACTTTTTTCCATGTTTATAAATTAATATTTTGGGGTGACAACTTTTACTAATTAAATATAATCTTTTTTTTTAAATTGCATATAATTTGCTGTTAATCGAATTATCGCAACTCGATTTCACAAATTTATTTCATTCTTGAAGAAAGATGAGCGTATCTTGTTGACCTAGTTTAAAATTTTCTCTCTATACTTAATTAAACAGTGGATCGATCACAACTGCGACAAGTGATGAGAAAATTTTCTATAAGCCGATCAATTTTTTTTTTTGTCACTTTCTTCCTTTCATCGCACGAAACAGATTATGATATTCAAAGGAATGAAAAAAGAAATGGTGATTCAAAAATTTCCCTTTTTTATCGAAAATTATATACTGCGCACATTGAGTGTTTAGCACACAAATACTTAACTATTAACATCATCCATGAACAAATTTAAAATGAAAATCATGTCAGAGAAAAAAAAATCCTGTCATATATCATTTATTAAAGCGTAGCATCATTTTTTATAATTCCAAAAGATGAGACTTTTTTTTTTTGAAGAAAAGAGCGTGCTTCCTTTTATTATTCCATAACGAAGCAAAAAATTCGTGTATATAGGTAAAGATGCCACGTGGGTCAACTGCTGGTTTTTGGTTTATATATTGGTTATATTTTATATTGAGAAAATATATATTTGTGAAGGTATATAGAGAGAGAAACACACACACATACACTATGTGTGGCGAAGAGACCTTATACAATCTCTCTCGCATCTTGACCTGACTCGACGACAGCTGGCCACCATTGTTGCCACGTCGTTGGGGAAAAATTTTTCAGTTCTCTCTTTCTCTCTCATTTCTTTTGCGGCAAGGAAAACTTGCCTCGCATTAACCACGCTAGATATCACTTTCTGGGAGGTAAAGATTAGACACCTAATGCATCAAAACGCCAGCCGTTCGCTGCACGTCATCCCCCATATTCTCTACCCCTCTTTCCCCCATTGCACCGATCGCTCCTCCGTTTAACGTGCACTATACACCAACAACCGATGGCGATTCAATATAGCTATATATACCTCACGTCCTCGAACAAAAGACTTTAGCCACACAATACCATTTACTCAATGGTATTATCTTTTTCAATTAATAGAAAATCGAATCTCATAAATTATAAATCGTGAATTAATATTTTTTTTTTTTCAAGTGATTATGATACTTTTTTTTCCTTGAAATTTGATTCTAATTTTTATTCGTACACTGAGAAAAAAGTTTATTTGATTCAAATAATCGGTTACTTGACTATTATCAAATAAATATTTTTTTGTATCAATTATTTAATTAGATCGCATTTGTTTGAAATACAGAAATTATTGATTCAAATATACAGTTTATTTAATTGAAATAAAAATTATTTGGTTTAAGTATAGATATTTATTATTTGATAATAGTTAAGTAACTGATTATTTGAATCAAATAAATTTTTTTTTTTTTTTATAAAGAGAAAAAAAAGCTATAAGAAAATTAATATCATAAAAAAAGTTGGTAATTTTTTTTTTTTGTCGGACAGTATAATGCTAGTTTTCATATAGAGCTTGTTTGCATTATTGATTCAAGATTAAATATTGTGGTTTAGATATTGTCCGCGTGAAAGAAAGTACTATTTTACTTTCCTATGATTATGCAAATTGCTGTTTCACAAGAAATAATTTTTTTTCCAACGAGCAATTTTTCACGCTCTCTTCTTAATAGTTGGTGATGAATCTATGCTAACATTGTTGCATTCTTTTTTTGAAAAACAAATTCTTTTGATGTGTTTGCAAATATTTCATTTTTATTGAGTGTAATGCTTCCTTTCAATTTTTCTCGACGTTTTAGGTAAATGATTTTTCAAAATTGTAAATTTAAAATCAAATTTTTATTTATTTACCACAATTTTTTTTATTTAACAACAACATTATTAATGTTAAATATAATTGCCCGTATACTTTCAATAAATTAATTTTTTTTTATCATAATTTTAAAAGAAAATTTCGAAAAAATCAAAAAAGGATTTGTTGATGTTAGTTTTATTTGACGTTTATAGTTTAATTGGAAAAATGTGAAAATGTCAGGGAAAGTTACATAGAGGAAAAATGGTGTAAATTAACTGAAAATATACGATACGGGAGTATAGTTTACAGGATAAACAAATCGCGGGTGGTCGTGCATTCTCTCTCTCTCTCTTTCTCTCTCTGCCCTCATTCATCTGTTGTCGCTCAAAGCATATTGGAAGCAAGTGTCAAAATTGCAAGGAATAAAAAATATTGTAGAATTGAAAAACGAGAACTAATCAATATTTCATATGTGAGTTATTATTTTTAATAGGTATTGACTTTTAAAAGTACACTTTTACTTTTAACAATCAAAACCGTCAATTATTGGCTTTATATTGTTTCGTCTCTTCTATTTTTCGTTTTTATTTTTTTTTTATTTTTTTAATAACTCATATCACGCTTTTCACATATTCGCTGTGTATAGTTTTTGATCTGATAAAAAAAAGATGAATCCTGACAAGTGGTTACATCTCTTTATACATACTTATGATCTGATAATCAAGGACGATGAAAATCGCAATAAAGATAAAAACAAGTTATGTTTTGCGTGCGCAGAATATTCAGAAAAGTTACGGAAAAGATATATATTGAGTCCGTAAGCAATAAAATCTGAATTTCTAATTTAAATACTTGTGTAAGCTTGGGAATAAATATAAAATTCAAGAGTTTAAAGTCAGAAAATAAACAATGTATTTTGTAAAACTGATTTAGTTCTTGGGAAAAATTTTTTTAATGGTGGAACAGTGATTTAAAGAATTTGGTTTCTTTTTTTTTTTTTTTTTTTTGACGGTGTCACATTACATTCATAAATTATGATCAAAAGACGACGTAGAAAGTGAAAAGTCGTATCAGAGAAATTATCAGTGAACAGTGGTATGCTCCAAGTTTACTTTGATCTTTCCCACTTTGTTCTTTTGAAATCTTTTGCTGAGTTGTCAATAGCAGCAACCCCTCCGGAGCTCACGGAAGTAATATACGATTATGCAAACTGGGGCGAATACGAGTGAGAAAGAAGGGAAAAGAAGACACGAGCAGACGGAAATTACTGTAAGAATAATAATCTTCGTTTTTCTTCTGTAGGGAAATGAAGTGACTCGAAATGAGCTTTCTTTGAGGAGTTGCACTGGTCTCTAACTTACTACTGCTTTCTCTCTCTCTCTTTCTCTCGTACCTTCCTAAATTCATGAAAAGAATTTTTTTTTTTTAATTTCATCAACAAATCCTTTGAAATGATTAGAAACATTCAACTCACTGGGAACCAAATGAGTTTGCAAATAGAACTTGAGGGATTTAAAAAAATATAAGAGAGAAGGAAAATCTTTCAACTTATGTTAATGCACCCTCGGTAATTTCAGAGCAATATTTCATCCCTCGAAATAAGAATTCATTTAAAGAACTCTTGAGAGCCTCTTAAAACATCATGAATTGAAATAATTCAAGTTGTAATTAGTTTTTATTGTTCCTTGTTGTCTTTTATCTTTTTGTCTTTATTTTTCTGACTCTTATCAAATTCTGAATCGATTTTGTATTTAAATTCTCTCGGACGCCCTTTTTAAATCAGTGATGAGGGAAGAAAATCGTCATAAATAAATTCGTATAAACGCGCGCGACCCCCGTCGAGAGTAATGCAAATCTTATTAGAAACGAATCTAATGCAGTGCAGGTCACCCTTTATGTCTGCGTGCGAAACGAACGCATTTGCATTCCGTACGGATGCGCCGAATGCATTAGCATTTGAATCTTAAAACAAACTGATGTAGTACATACCCACCGGGAGCATTTCTGCTTTGCATTTCTACGGCTCTTTTTCCAAGTTGTGGTTTTCACATGGCCTTACGAACCCAGGGAAAAACGAGGTCGTAAATAAAAAATTCCGATCGTGCTCACACTATCCCGTTAATGAAACAGCATAAGTCACAAACCAGAAAGAAAATTATTGAAATGACATCGTGCCTCAATTTTTACATTATTTTTTTTTTAGGACTCTATTTAATAAAATTATATTTTGGAACCTGTGAAAATTTTTATTTTACTTTTCTTTTTTTTCTCAACGTAATAAAGGCAACCCTTCAACTCTCAACGAGTTCATGCTTCTATGATTGCTCAATGACCTCACGCGAACCACATTCGTTAGGAGCAATGCTATTCGTCACGTTATTAGTAGTGCATACGTAATGCCACATCTGTCGTTCGCTCAGAAACCGAATAAACAAAGAAAAAATCTCACCCCCTTATAATGCTCTCACGTTTTTTTCTCGCCCAAAGAGAAGTATTTCATATTGCTGTTTTTTAATAACGAAAATTCAATCTCACAAATCACGATAATTCATTATTTCCTGAAAATGTTGAGAATGCGGGCAAAAATGTGACCGGATGGTCTTAATTGCAACCCAGTAGACGTGCACAAAAGAAAAGCAACCTGCTTTAATACACTACTATAACTCTCTCTATATAAAGTTGCTGAA